CCGGCCCCGTTCGTGCCTGTTGGCCCTAGACGCCCCGTTGGCCTCGTTAGCGCCTCGTCGGCCCCGTGCGCCCCTCTGGCCCCGCTCGCCCCGCCGGCCCGTTAGCGCCCTGCTGGCACATTAGCACCCCGCCGGCCTGTTAGCGCCCCGCCGGCCTGGTAGCGCCCCGCCGGCCCGTCAGCGCCCCGTCGGGCTGTTAGCGCCTTGACGGCCCCGCTCGCGCCCCATCGGCGCCGTGCGCCCCTCTAGCCCCGCTCGCCCCACCAGCCTGTTAGCGCCCCGCCGGCCCGCTCGCGCCCTACCGGCCCCGTTAGCGCCCCGTCGGTCACGTGCGCCCCTCTGGCCTAGATCGCCCCGCCGGCTTGTTTGCGCCCCGCCGGCCCCGTTGGCGCCCTACCGGCCCCTGCGCCCCGTCGGCCCCGTGCGCCCCGTCGGCCCTCATCAGCCGGTCGGCCAGCCAGCCGCCCAGCCAGCCGGCTCCAGCCTCACCAGCCCCCGCTTCAGCGGCTGCCCGCCGGACCGTCAAGTCCCAGCGCCGATCCACTGGCTTTGGCTCCCTTCAGCGCCATCTTCCCTGCCGGCTGTCTCCACCGCACTCCATCGCACTCCACCACACTCCATCGCACCCCACCGCACTCCACCGCACTCCACCGCACTACACCGCACTCCACTCTCTTCACCGCTTCCTCCACCTATCCTCCTCACTCGCTCAGCGGCCATCAACAGCTGCAGCAGTGGTGATGGCGGAGTCACAGCCCCGAATGGACGCAGAGGGTCGAACACTCGACTTTGAGGCGTGGCTCGTCGACCTCGGGCGTCACCTTACAGGTCAGCGCAAGGACGGTCATGTAGGCCTTGTGACGTGTGGTGCGAGCGTGCTTTTTCATGGCCTGGGTCTGAACGTCCACGCCGCCCTCCCCTTCGCTGCCATACCTGGTTCAGACCACACCATGCTCAAAACACATGCTGCATTTGAGAGAGGGGAGGCCGGTTTTAGTATGACAAAGCAGCATCCATGGAAACCGCTCGTGCCAATCTGACTTAACTCTGCAGGGCTTGAAGACATAATAGTTTCGTCCTGTTGGCGAAACCAGGTTGATGCGCAATTCTGATTGCACTTTGATTGTCGCACTGCAGGGTGAATTTTGTACTTCAATTTTGCTTCCTCCAGTAGCTCTTGCAGATAGAGTCCTTCGCGAGTAGCCGTGCAGGCAGCTATAAACTCGGCTTGAGCGGATGAAAGAGCTACTAGCTCTTGCTTTGTAGAATTCCATGAGACAGTCCCAATAGGCTCGAGACGATAGATGAATCCGGTGCGAGATCGTCGATTAGTAGTATCTGCTGCATGATCAGCATCGACGTACCCATTAAGATATAAAGTTTTCGTAGTAGTAACTTGATAGGTAAGTCCGACTTCAGGTGTCGAGATGAAATACTGCAGAGCGCGAAGAAGATCTAGCCGATTCTCCCCCTTAGGTCGACGCATAAATTGCCCGAGCTGGCTAGTGGTGTAGGCGAGATCTGGACGACACGTTACTGTTGCAAATAGAAGACAACCTAGTTGCTGTTGATAAACCTGTAGTTCCGTGTTATCGAGTGGAGTAGTATCCGGTTGATGGTTAGCCGGTAGAGACCGTTAAGGAGTGGTTAATGTCGAGGCTGTGAGATTAAATCGTGCGGCTAGTGTAGCTGCATACTTTGAAGCGGTAAGATGGATAGCAGTTGCGGTTCGGTGTATGTTCAGTCCGAGAAACTGTGTGACTGTAGGAGCGATAGTAATCTGTAAATTCTGTTGAAGTTTCTGTTTGAAGATAGTCGCGAGAGAATCCGTAGTAATAATATAAAGCAAGTCGTCGATGTAGGCAACGAGTAAGATGTAGTCGGTACCGTCGGTAAGCAGGTACATTCCTTGCTCGTGTGGAAGCTGACGAAACCCGGCAGTTAACAGTTGACAGTGTAGATACTGCTGCCATAGTCGTAGAGCCTGTTTGATGCCGTAAAGAGTTTTTCTGAGACGGCATACGCTGAGAGGATTAGTCTCATAGGAATGTAGATACTCGACCAAAATTAGTGCGTCGACATGCGCATATAGAAAAGCGTTGGCGACGTCGATTTGGCAAAGTCTGAAATTCCGGTAGGCCGCGATGCATAGAAGAATTCTAACACAAGTGTGTCGGCCGACGGGAGCAAAGGTGAGTTTCTAGTCAAGCCCGAATGTTTGCTCGAAGACGCGGACGGCCCATCGCGCCTTGAACTTTTCGAAGGAGCCATCAGCGTTCGTCTTAATGTGGAAGACCCATTTTCCGATAAGAATTTTACTCCTCTTTGCTTCCTTCAGTGGGATAAGATCCCAGGTGCCACGCTTTTCCAGAGCTGCTAGCTCTTGGTCCATGGCTTTGCGCCATTTTTCCCTGTGAGGACTTGTCAAAGCTTGGCGAACTGTTTTCGCTTCCAGAATTTTACTGCTATTTGGCTGTACTACGACTGCAAGTCCCAAAAATTGTAAACCAGTTTCTGTAAAACGCGGACGGTTTGAGTTGACGCGGACAGTTCCCCCCCAACTTCTTCAGGTGTGACTCCGATTGCTGCTTCGGAGACAACGGGCATCGGTTGCTGTTGGCGGTCACGTTCGTAATCGAGTTCAACATTACGAACATCTTCAGGGTCGGCGTCAACGAGTGGAATAAACTCCGCAGTTCCAGCTGACGTGGTTGGCACGGGGAAGTCTGTGGCAGCTTCGGAGGATTCCGCGACAGATTCGTCCTGTACATCTGCTTCGGCCTCGTTGGTGGCAAAAACACGCGAGCCCTCGAACAGCCTGGCAGGATTGGCAGCTGCTACCTGGTGAGCACGAAAAATAGGTAAGGTTAAGCGTTCGTAGAAAGACAATCACGTGCTGCTACGATTTGACTCGTGCGAAGATCCATGATTTTCCACACCTAAAACTGTTTTTCGATGCCAAGATGTATTCCCCACTTATCGCGTTCAGAAAATTTTCCAAGTGCAGCTGTCGGAGGTCGATATTGAACGATGCAGCCGAAAACTCTTAAAAGTTTTGTGTTGCCAACTGTTTTTGTCCACTGCAGGTGTGGTGAAGAAAATTCAGGAAGAGAAGTTGTCGACAGCAAGTTGTGCAGAAGAACTGCATGGTCCAAAGCGTAAGTCCAAAAATGAGGTGGCAATGCTGCCTGAGTCAACAGCACTCGCATCTTCTCTTGTAAAGTCCTGTTCATCCTTTCTGCTACCCCCATCTGTTGGTGTTGATGTGACAGGGACAACCTGCGCTTGATTCCGAGGGATTGCACGTAATCCGTAAAAGTTGTGCTGGTATACTCCCCTGCGCCATCACTCTGAAACTCTTGCAGCTGTTCTTTCGATTCTCTTTCAGCCACCGCGAGCCATGCCACGAAGATTCAGTGAGCCATGTGTCGAGCTGGTATGTTGACGCTCCAAACGTATCGACTAGAAGCTTCGATAAACGAAATCATATAAATCTCCTCCTTAGGTCATGCTTCCGGTAAGTTGAGTATGTCGCTGTAGGCTTTCTACATCAGTTTGTGTCAAGTTGAACCCGGAAAGTGACTCGGAAAAGGTTCGTGATGAAGATTAGCGGTTGCGCATGTTGTGCAGACTGCTAGTTGTGAAGCCGTAGCCTTGAGAGGAACGGCGATCCGGCTGGGAGTCAGCCCAGGAGGAGTCACTGAAGCCAGAGAGGAGGGGAGGAGAAGAGCCTCCGAGGGTGAGGACATAGTCCTTGGTACCACGGAGGTAGCGGAGGACCCGCTTCGCTGCAGCCCAGTGCTCATCAGTGTGGCGACCGGTACCGACGAATCGAGCAAGAACACTGATGGGGTAGGCAAGGTCGGGGCGGGTGCACATCATAGCGTACATCAGCGAGCCGACGAGCTCAGCGTAAGGATGGTCAGAGGAGGAGGGAGCAGGAGGAGGGGCAAGCTGGTGGTCGGTCTGCAGGGGAGTGGTAACCAGCTTGGCCTGCGCCATGTCGAACCGCTGCAAGACTTGGTCGATGTAGAAGGACTGAGAGAGGGTAATGGTGCGCGATGTGCGGTCCCGGGTGATGGTCATGCCCAGATAGTGCTTGAGCTCACCCAGGTCCTTGCACTTGAGGCGCGCATGCAGGGCGTCCTTCACTTGCTGCATGGCGGCAGCATCGTCAGCGAACAGGATCATGTCGTCGACATACACCAGGATGAAGAAGCGGGTGGGAGAGGAGCGAAGGAAAAGGCTGGCATCAGACTGAGAGGCATGGAACCCCAAGGACTGCAGAGTGGCGGCCAGCTTGTTGTGCCACTCGCGAGGAGCCTGCTTGAGGCCATAAACCGGGTGGCGCAGCTCCCAGACTGTGTTGGCAGGGAAGGCTGCGTGAACCTGGAGGCTGCCGCAAGAGGACCCGCTCCTGGAGCTCGCCTTGCAGGAAGGCGTTGGAGACATCCATGGAGGCAATCTCCATGCCAATGCGAACAGCATAGTCGAGGATGGCACGGAGAGTTGGGACCTTGGCAGTGGGAGATAATGTCTCCCAGTAGTCGATGCCATGGGTTTGGGTGAAGCCCTTGGCACAATACCGGGCCTTGTAGACCGGCTCCTCACCCGGCAGCTGCTTCACTCGGAACACCCATAGGCCTTCAACAATGACGTCGTCAGGAGAGGGGACAATGTTAACGAATGAGCCATTGCGGATGAAGGCCTCGCATTCAGCAAAGATAGCCTGGATCCACTTGGCAGCATTGGGGCAGGTGATGGCCTCAAGGAAGTTGGACGGAGTGAATCTGGTGGGAACGGTAGCGATGCCAAGGATGAGGAGGCCAAGGAAGCCCGGGTAGAGAGGCGTGAGGGAAGGTGTTTGCTGCTGAACGCCAATGAGCTCCTCATGGGAGTCCTCAATGAAGGGAAGGGAGGGTGGGGGTGGTGTTGGCCAACCCCATGGATGGCCTATGAGTGGGCCGTGAGAGCGAGTGTGGATGCGTGGGAGGATGAACGGAGAGGTGGTGCGGCGATGCCGATGAGGTTGCTGCAGTGGCTGCTGCTGCTGCTGCTGCTGTGGCCGCTGTTGGTGCTGCTGCTGCACCTCCTGCTGCGGCTGCTGTTGCTGCACTGCCTGCGGTTGCTGCAGCTGCTGCTGCTGCTGCTCCATCCGCTGCTGCACCTCCTGCTGCTGCTGCTGCTGCTCCATCCGCTGCTGCTGCTGCACCTGCTGCTGCTGCTGTTGCTGCTGCTGCTGCTGCTGCTACTCCTTCTGCTGCTGCTGCTGCTGCTGCTGCTGCTGCTGGTGCGATGAGGCAGAGTGAGCAGGGGAGTCAGGGACAGCTGGGTCGTAAATGTCACCTGAGGAAGGAGGAGGGGGAGGAGCAGGATTTGGAGGAAGGAGGGGAGCCTGGGGAAGGAGTGGGGGAATGACAGTATCAGCCCAGGTGAGGGGGCGGGAGAGAGGAGGAAGGGGGTCGGAAGGCGGAACAGAATGATAGAACGGGATGCTCTCATCGAACACCACGTCACGGCTCTGTAGGAGGCGGCCTGAGGATGGGTGAAGGAAGAGGTAACCAGGGGCAGAGCGAGCGTGGCCAAGGTAGACACACTCAATGGCCTTGGAGGCGAGCTTTCCTGCCTGCCGAGAGCGGTCAGGTGGGGGGATGAGGACATATGCCTTGCAACCCCAGATACGGAGAATGGCAGCATCTGGCTTGGTGCTAGCCCAGAGCTCAGTGGGAGTGACAGACTGGCGTTGAGGATGTGGGTAAAGATTAGTAAGGAGAGCAGCATGGACAAGGGCATAGCCCCAAAGAGGAGGGGGCGTGGAGGCATGAGTGAGGAGGCAGCGGGCCGTCTTGGTGATCTCACGAATGCGACTCTCAGCAACACCGTTCTGCTGAGGGGAGTGGGGAAGGGTATGAGTCTGCTGGATGCCATGGGTTGAGCAGTAGGAGGAGAGGGTGCGGTTGAGAAACTCACCACCGCCGTCGGAATGGAGGCGGCGGATGGGGCGACCAAAGTGGACTCGGCACTGCTCGGCCCAGGTAACGATGACAGCAGGGGCCTCGGCCTTCGTGTGGAGGAGGAACACCGAGGAGTACCTGCTGTGGTCGTCGACTAGGACAAGCATGTACCGGTGCCCTTGGCGGGAAGGGGAAGGGTTAGGGCCCCAGAGGTCCATGTGGACGAGGTCAAGGGGGCAGCAGCAAAGGAAGGATGACTGAGGTGAGGCTGTTGTTTGAGCTTTCCATGAATGCATGTGGCGCATGGGGGAGCGGAAGAGGACGGGAGGGGAGGAAGAGTGGGGGGAAGACCGTCAAGCAAGCGGGAGGAGACGGCTTTACAAAGTGTGGGAAAGTTCATATAACCAAGGCGGTGGTGGATGAGAACAGCGGGGTGGGACAGTGCGCGACAAGAGCATGGGGAGGAGGTGGAGTTGGAGGAAGGTGGCTCTAGAGGGAGGGGAGGGGGGAGAGTGGAGGTGCCTGCACGAGTGGTCACGTGGCATGAGGAGGGGCGGGGTGTGCGGAGGATGTACTGATGAGAGCGAGGGCAAAGTGGGAGGCGATGAAGGAGGCGGCGAGTGGGGCCGTGGAGGAGGTCACAGTAGGTGGCAGAGGCGGGGAAGAGAGTAGTGATGCCAGCCTGTTGGAGTTCACGAATGGAGAGCAGGTTATGACGAAGGGAGGGAATGTGGAGACCAGTGACCACTCCAGAGGGGAAGGGGGGGCAGGGGAGGGTGGAGAGATGAGTGCAAGGGATGGAGAAGCTGGAATCAGCACCATGAACGTTGGTGGGGAAAGGGAGGGAGGTGAGGGTGACGGCGTCTTTGAGGGCAGTTTCAGTGGCACCACTATCGAGAACAAAGTCAATCGTGAGTGAGGAGGGAGCTGAAGACACAGGGTACTGGAAATCACTGGCATTAAAAACAGAGGGATACATGGAAGTGGAAGCAGGGGAAGAACGCATGAGCTCGCCTAGAAAGCTGGAGTGGGAGGCGGGAGCACTAGGGGAAGGAGAGCCCCAGAGGGGAAAGCCAGGAGGACCTGGTGTGGCTGTGGCAGCCATGGCGGCGGTGCCAAAGCCAAGCTGCTGCTGCTGCCATGCAGATGCTGCGGCTGCGGCTCCTGCAGCTGCGGCTGCAGCCTGACCACCAGAGCCCCACTGCTGCTGCTGCTGCAGCAGCTGCAGCTGCTGCTGCAGCAGCTGCAGCTGCTGGAAGCGGCGAAACTGCTGCAGCTCCTGGGGAGTTATGGGGTCAGCGACAGAGGAGGAGGAGGAGGAGAGCTGAAGATGAGAGGGGAGGAAAGACGGAAGATTTTTGACATCCTGGAGAGAGGGGCGGGGATCCATGGCAGACCAGCGTGGGGGTGTGCCAGTGTTGCCGCGCTCGAACCAGGCGTCATCATACGCCTTGAAGCAGGTCGCGGGGGGATGGTTGGTTTGGGTGCAGCGCTCACCCGCCCTGGGACCAAAACGGCGAAGATAGGAACATGGGGGAGAGTGCCAGGGCGGCCACCACGGCTACCAGATGAGCCACTACTGCCTCCACCACCACCACTGCTGCCACCCTCGACCCCGCCACCACCGCCGCCGGCTCCGCTGCCCCCACAACCGCCACCTCCACCCCCTCCCTGAGGGTTGGTGCGGCCGCCACGTGGGCGCCCGCCACGACGCGGCTGTGTGACTGCAAGCTGGGGGTTTTGGGACTCGGTGGAGTTCAGGCCGGAGGGGGGGGTTGAGAGAAGGCGGGCCTCAGCGTCAATGATCCATTGGACCACAATGTCAAGGGAGGCGCGGGGCTGAGCCTCAGTGAAGGCGATGACGCGCACTTCATATTGAGGGAAGAGGCCTTCGAGGAGACGGTAGATCTGAAGGTTGGGGGGGAGAGTAGTCTGGCGAGCCTCAAGGCGGGAGGCAAGGTCCAGGAGACGGCTGGTGTAGTCAACGGCGCCAGCACTATGTTCGATCGTGATGCTAAAGTATTCCTTGAAGAGCGGTCCGACAGCATCGAAGTCGGTGCGTTCGAACATTGCCTCAAGCTCGAGCCAGATCTGGCGGGAGCCGATGCGACGTGCCTGGAAGTTGCGCATGAGCGCAGACGGGATGGCAAGGAGAAGGGCACCAGTAGCACGGCTGTCCGCCTCGAGCCAGGCGCGACGACGCTCAGCAAATCGCGCAGAGTCAGCGGCATAAGCGGCGGCGGTAGCGGCATGTTGGGTGCGGAGGGTTGCCGACCGCTCGTGTTCCTCCAACGCGATCAGGTAATCAGTATGGAGCACGAGGAACTCACGACGCTGAGTAACGAAGAGCTGCTCAACTTCAGCGGTGGCAGCGCGAGTGCTGGTGCCAACGGGTACCATGGGGGGCGGAGGTTCCTCGCCGGGATGGGGAATGAGAGGGGGGGGATCGCCAGGGTGAGGCGGCGGGTCGCCAAGGTCACCCTCTGGGAGACCAAGCATGATGTCCAGGAGGCGGAACGGCAGGACATATGCACTGCCGAGGACGCGGTGGAGGCTGCCGACGAAGGAATAACAGTTGGTTGCTGAGTTGTCGGCAGCGCGCACGAGATGATCGAGGGTCGAGACGTCGACGGGAGGGGGAAAGGATGCCATTGGTGACACGTAGTGGGAGGAAGGCGACGGCGGGTGGACCCGCGGTGGCTGGGAGGGAGCGGCGGCGGGTGGACCCGCGGCGGCTCAAAGAGGAGGGGAGGATGGGGATGGCTGTAGATACTGCTGCTGCTGCTGTTGCTGCTGCTGCTCCTTTTGCTGCTGCTGCTGCTGCTGTTGCTGTTGCTGCTGCTGCCGCTGCTGCTGCTGCCACTGCTGCTGCTGCCGCTGTCGCTGCTGCTGCTGCTGCTGCTCCTTCAGCTGCTGCTGCTGCGGCTGCTACTGCTGCTGCTGCTGCTGCTGAGTCTGCTGCTCCTTCTGGTGCTGCTGCTGCTTCTGCTGCTGCTGCTACGGCTGCAGCAGTGGTAAGGCGGCGATGAGCAGGTGCAGGTGAGGAGGCAAAAGATGAGGAAAGATGGCAGTAAGCTGATGAAAATAGGACTCGGTAGAAATTTCAGTAGCACTTCGTGATCACATCCAGGAAAGTGTGCAAACTTCGGAAAGCGAAATCTGACTATCCAAGCGATGAAACAGTCCGAAATTTTACGACGTTGTAGCTGACACTAAGAGCGTTCTTTTGCAAGTCAAATCACTCAATTCTGTCATTTATCGAGCGAGCTATGGCGTTTGGCGCATTGGGGGGTTTTTGAAAATCCACCCAACAGAAAACTAGTTGAGAGGCGGCGGCTAGGAGTCTAGCAGCGGCGATGGAGGGGACGGCAATGAGGTGCACGTCGGAAGGGGACGGGGAGGAAGCGTGGGGAAGGATCGGGATTTAAAAGTTGGCGTGAGCCATTATTGCTCTATACCATGTTAGAAACAGAAAGGTTCAATTTATTGATGAAGCAAAGGCATTACATAGGAAGAGAGGGATGAGCTAGGAAGGGAAGGTTGGAAGGGAAAGGGGGGTTAGGACCAATCACAAGGGAGGGAGGATCCTTCCAAATGTGGTTGACCACCAGTTGGAGGTGGTCCAAGTGTGGTGTACCACCAGTGGTTTAGCCAACCCACTTGTGATGCCCCCACAATTGTGGTCCTTGTGTTTGGGGGCTCCAACCACAATTGGGTTGGATTGACACCCCAACACAGGTGTACACCCAACTAGGGATGTAAACACAATATACACAACTAGCATAGCATGGTATATTCTAACAGGCTTCATCTCGGTTCCACCCGGTAAGAGTAAAATATTTTTGTCAAGAACTGAAGCTCGAATAGTATGGTTAAGTATCCCCGGTGAAGGATGTCCTAACCCTTGATGACAAATATCTTCCGTTGCTTTGTGTCCTATTGATCGCAGATAAAAATCAGCGTTAGTATAAAAAGAAGAAACGATGAAAAGAGAAATCGGTGGTGATTCGTCGAGTTCTCCAGGAACGAAGCGATTAAGAGGTAACTTTGTCGTTGTAATTTCCACTTCGAGTACTTCTTCCAATTGAAGAATTAATTCCCCTTCCTCAATTTCTGTGTCTTGTGAATCTACTGCAGGTTGACCAACGAGAATCCCTGTTTCTATTTTACTACTATTCTGCTGCTCTGCTTTACTGCTGCTGCTGGGTCCCCAAGGTCCTGAAGGTTTGTTTTCAAGTTGTTGTAAAGTGTCGTAATAATTTCTCCATGCTGATGTGTCTTCCTCTGCTGTGTTTGTTGGCCAGGAATCAAGAGCCGTGATAACTGCAGCTGCTGTACGAGATCCTGTGGGAACTGCAGGTGCACGGAAGTCGATGTCAACGTTCTGAAAATCAGCTTGTTCGGGATGTTGCCAAGGTCCAAGAGATAACACTCTCTCAGAAGATCCAGTAGTCCCTTGCGACTCGAATTGAAGAACGGAGACCCCATACTGAGTGGCGGCTCTCCCGATGTAAGTATTTGAATCATTATGATAAAGTTCTTGATCCATTGTCTCACAGTTGCCTTGTGTCCGGATCTTATGTCGCAGGAGTTGAGCCGTTAATTGAAGATTAAAGCCAAGTCCCTCGATGATGAGGACATTAGTAACGTGTAAGGACAATCCTGTGTCCACGGAATCCAACATGACGCTCCCAATTGACTTTGCTATTATGGTTTGTCCATTTGCGACCGTGACAGGAAATGGACGTCGAAGCGGACGCTGATGAGTAATGAAGAGCATCTCGGCAGAGCACATGTGTTGTCCACAGCAACTCTCAAGATACCAAGTGTTCAGTCCTGCAATAACCGGAGCAAGGTTAGCATATACTTGAGGTAAAACCATGTTCTCAGATTGCTCGTTGAAGCTTTCGTCATCGTCATCGTCGAAATCTGACTCTGTTGCATGAACTGTTGTAACGCAACTAAAGACTTGTTTTCCTAATATTGCAGGAGTTGTTGTCGCTGGATTCTGCTTCACGGGTTGCTTGAACTGCTGCGACTGCTGCTGTCCCCCTCTTTTCCTATCAGCTTGAAGCTTGTTGCAAAATTTTATTCTGTATCCATCCCTTTTGCAGTAGTGGCAGAAGTACTTGTTAACGCGTTTCGTAGGCATTGAATAAAAACTGATGTTTACTGCTCCTTTCTTGTTACGTGCTGTTTGCATGTCAAGATCTTGCTGCTCTGCTTGAAGGATGGAGCAGCTTTCTGCTTCCGAAAGATTTGGTTGAAGACGAAGAAGAGATCGACACTGCCGCCATTCTGCTCCAAGACCGGCAAGAAGGACTGTTATAAACATGTCCTTTAGGAAGTATCCGCCGCAATTTTCCAATTAGTCACGAAGTGTTTGAGCCCTATTGACATAATCCGAAACGTTCTCGTTACCCTGCATCTGTATAGTTGTCAGTTGTGAGAGAATTTTACTCACGGAAATTGTGTCCTGTGCCATATACAGCCCCTTCAAATGCGTCCATGCAGATTCGGCTGGAGTCAAACAGGTGTGAAGAGAGCGTATGCCAAGCTGCTCCTTCACCGACAGATTGCGGATAAGGACAGTGTAAGCGCTGAGTGAGGCATGAAGAAAACTCTGTTGTTCCATTTGTGTTCCCGTAACAGGATACGTGTAATCGCCACTGAAGAACGGCCACAATCCAGTGGATTTTGTGAGAAGCTCGAACTCAAAACTCCAGGCATAGAAGTCAACGCCATTAAAAGGTATGGTTGTCTTGATTTGTGTATTGCTCAAAAGATTCGGTGCCTGAAAGACAGGACCAGTGAAAGAAGTCTGCTGCTGCAGAAACTGCTGTTGTGGTTGGTGTTGTTGTTGCTGCTGTTGCTGTTGTTACTGAAACTGTTGTTATGCTTGATGCTGTTGTTGAAGAAATTGAAATTGTTGATGTTGAGCAGGTGTAAATGCAAACGAGGAAATGGAGCTTGGAGCGACTGCAACTCTTGCATACCTTGAGCCATCGATACTCATTCCACTAAAAGCTGTTGATATTGATGCTGCTGCTTGTTGCTGTTCTGTTGCAGGTGTAGAGGACGAAGTCCCTGGTGGATGCACGGTAGGCAAACCTTGCTGCTGGTGCGGCATCCCAATTGAAGAATAAGCAGGTGGAAAGTTTCCAGCTGCACAATTCCCTGTTTGACCAGTGTTGACTGTAGGATTTGTAACACCCGTAGGTCCAGTTGTTGAGGAACCAGATGATGGAGCCAATGATGGTCCAGTCATGACTGTCGATAATCGAATTGACAAGAGCCTTCATTCCAGACAGCTCTCATACCATGAAAGAATTTGAAAGGTGGTGCAGGAGACGAAGTATAGAATCTGCAGACACAAGTACTTGAAGTAGAAAGTAATACTAGAAGTACCTCCAGTCACAGCCAGTATTAACAAGTTGAACTGTAATCCCCCGTATATAACACCCTATGGTGTATATAAAAATTCACTAAAAAAATGACTGGGTGTTAACAGTGGCTTGGAAAAATATAGTGCCCATGTGTTATATAAAATGCAATTTGAATTTCAGTGTTTCAGGCCATGTGTGTTCGCAAATGCGCGGAGCGACTGTTAGCGATGTACAGCATCCGCTAAGACAAAACTCACGAACCAGGCGTCATTGGCCGATCCCTGCTAAGTGCTGTGGTTAGGGCCAGGTCTGTGCCGCACCTGCGACAGTCAAGACATGAGAGGATTTCGCTCGGGAGGATTTTTGACCGTCAAATCACAACAGAATCCGCGACTTCGACGGTAGAAATCCTCCCGAGTCTCGATTTCGCGCTGCAACTTGTTTTGATGTTTCTGCCCGTTTTTTTGCTGCTAATGGTAGTTGACATTGCGTTTTTCATCCTGTTCATTTTTTTCTTTTCTTTTCTTTTCTTTTCAATCGAGCTGAGCTTGAAAAACTACGAAATACTGTTCTTTGCTGCATAAAACGAGGAGGGTGTTATGTAAAATGCAACCCCCGAAAAGCAGGTGCTCTCTTAAATGCACCCTATTATAAGCTCTCCTCCGCATAAACTGTCAACTTATACATGTGTTGCATGTAGAAGTTATAGGCTAGTGTAGATGTGTGTTCCTAGTGAGTACAACCCCAACTGTTATATGTGCTGTAATCTCCACCTAGTAATCATTCTTGCATTCTAACATGGTATCACGGTCGGAGTGGAGACACAGCACGGGGAGACCGCGGTGCTGGAGGGAGTTCTTGCTATGGGGGTGTTGGTTCTGGGGGTGTTGTCATTGAGTGTTCTCCCGGCGGTCGTCGTGCCTCTGCCGGTCCGGGGGTCGGGCACAAGCCATCGTCGCAGCCGTCGCAGCCGGTCTCCGCTCTTTGCCTGCTCGGCCTTCCCTCCCCTGACCGCTCGCCGGTGTCTCCCCCGCCACCTCCTCACCTTCCGGTCTACGGCCCTGTGTTCCCGCCGCCGGACTCGTCTCCGGCACGTCTTCCTCCTCGTTCCCCTCTTGTGTCCCCTCCGCTGTCTCCTGACCCTACCCCTCCGTCCCACGTTTGGTCTCGCCGTCCCTCACGTGCTCGCCCCGTCTCTCCTGTCCTGCGCTCCCACCCTATGTTGCTCTGTTCCCACTCGTCTCGTCCTCCCCTCCTCCCGTCGCCTCCTCCCTCGTCGCTTGTTGTTGCCCCTCCTCCGCTGTCTGACTACTTCCGTGCCGCTTGTCCCCTTGTCCCTCGGGTTCTTGCTTCTCTTGTTACAGACCCGTCTGTTCCTGTCTCCTGCCTTGCCGCGCTTGTCGCTGCTGTCGCTGACTTCGCCTCTACCCGTCGCCTTGACACGCTACCGCCCTGGTCTCTGACCCTGCCCGTCCTCCGTCCGTCGAGGGTGCACCTGCCCTTGGCAGTGACGTTCTAGAGGACAGGCAGTACGAGCTTGCTTTCCTTTTCGAGGCTGCTCCCCATCTCTGCTCCATGCTTCTAGTCCCTGAGGGTGACCCAAATGCCTTCGACATCCCGACCCCTCGCACTTACGCTGAGGCCACCTCGGGACCTTGGGCCTCTCAGTGGGTAGCTGCCATGGAGCAGGAGATGGCATCTTGGAGGTCCACCGGCACTTACGACGACGCAGTTCCCCCCCCTGGGGTGAACATAGTCGATGGTCGGTGGCTCTTCAAGGTGAAGCGCCCCCCAGGAGAGCCGCCTGTCTTCAAGGCGAGCTACGTGGCTAGAGGCTTTAGCCAGCGTGAGGGGGTGGACTTCTTCCATACCTTCGCCCCGACCCCGAAGATGGCTACTCTTCGGGCGCTGTTACACGTAGCAGCACAGCGCGACTACAAGCTTCACTCGCTTGACTTTTCTACTGCCTTTCTTCAGGGCAGCCTACAAGAGCAGGTCTACCTGCGTCGACCACAGGGCTTCACGGGTACCTTCCCTCCTGGGACCCAGTGGCTTCTCAGGCGCCCGGTCTACGGCCTGCGCCAGGCTCCCCGCGAGTGGCACGACACGCTGCGTGCCATTCTAGCAGACCTGCAGTTCTTTCCGTCGTCTGCTGACCCTTCGCTTTTCGTTCGTTCCAGCCAGACTTTGTTCTACATCCTTGTTTACGTAGACGGCATGGTGTTTGCTACTGCTGACAGGGACGCACTGGCCTCGGTGAAGGCCGAGCTGCTGAAGAGACACACCTACACTGATCTAGGAGAGCTGCGTCGCTATCTTGGCCTGCAGATCTCCAGGGACAGAGCAGCACGCACCATCACTCTGACTCTGTGAGAATACGACCCCGTTACACCACTTTTTCCTTCTCCTCTTTCCTTCCTATTTTCATTCCTTATTTTATCTCATCTCATTTGGTTTCCTATTCTTCATTTTCCATTAACCTTTGGTTTAGCCTGCTATTATAATTATATCACCGACCAGGCTTGGGATGTACTGGTGTGCTATCTGGCGTAATCCTGCCGTAATCCCTTAAAGCCAATAGCCTTGTGTGGCTATACGCAGGGTGATTCTATCTTCTACAAGGGTCTATTCCCTTAGGATAAGATAAACCTGGTTACCTGATGTACTTTGGAAGTATTAAAGTGCCTTGTACTGATCGATAGTGCAACCTTTCCTCGACACATTCGATCCTGTGACACTTTGTAATCAGAGCTTTTTTCACTCGACCGCGCTCAGCTAAGCAGCAGCAGCGGGGGATCCTGCCTCGAAAAACCGCCGGGGGCGACCAATTCGACGCCGATTCTGGTAAGCACCAGCTCCGCGTTTTTTTCGAATTACCCCCTCCGCGCGTGTTTTTGAACAGGATGACGAACTTCGACAACGCCGAAGTTACCCAGCAGCTCTTCGCGCGCATCGCAGCCCTTCAGGAGGAGATGCGAGCGGACCGCGCAGCGTGGCGAAACGAGCTCGAGCGAGTAACTCGACTCGCCGGAGCGCAACACGAAACGACAACGGCGACGACGCAGCAGTCGCAGCAGTTTCCCGAGGCTCCGAAACCGCGCCCACCTGAGCCGTTCGATCTGAGCGATCGAAACTCCGACGTCCGCAGATGGATCGCCGGAATGGAGATCTACTTCGCAGCCGTCGGATGGAGCTCGCCAGTCTGGGACGGTCAACGCGTACGACTCGCGGCGACACTGATGCGAGGGCCGGCACTCGAGTGGATTGGCGGCAACAGCACCTTCATCCACGGCGAAGCCACGTGGCAGCAGTTCCGCACCGACCTGCTCAAACTTTTCGAGCCAATAAATTGGGGTTTCCTTGCCCGCGAAAAAAATCATCGCCATCGACAGTTCGACAGTATAGCGCAGTACACGCAGCAGATGGAAGAATTTTATAACCGCATTCCCGACCTGACCGAAGGGGAAAAAGTACAGTCATACCTCGCTGGGCTGAAGACCGAAGTCAAACGACAAGTGGCAGCGACAAACTACGCGAGCTACGGTGACGTCGTTTCGGCAGCGGAGCGCTTCGACATGGTCAACGCCGGGACACGACGGACGCACGTCGGCAGTACGCGACAGGGCGACCGCTCGGCTCACACCACGTTCGCCGACCTGATGGAAGTCGACAGGTTCGAGGGGTGGCCACGTCCGAAAAAAAACCAACTACACGTGTGATTTTTGCGGGGTGCCGGGTCATCGAATCTTCGACCGCAACAAAATGAAAGCCGCACGCGCTGAGTATCGGGCACGCAACAGTGGCGGAAATCCTTCGGCCAATCAAAAGCCAAAAAATGGAGCTCGCCAGTGATCGCGGATCTAGTTGGCGAAAAATAAAAGATCCGAAAACGGCCGCGGGATTTCGAGAAAATCAACTTTGACGCAGCTGATTCGACGCGAACACGAGAAAATGATGGGGAAAAATCTCCACCCCACGACCAGTCTTTACCAGAGGAAATCACCGAGGAAGGACTCCACCCCACGACCAAACATATAACTCCGTGAAAAAGGACTCTGCCCGAGACGGGGAAACTCCTTGAAGACCGAAGAAATTATAAGGATTCGTTAAAGTTATCTTACAAAGATGCTTTAATGAAAACTTGTAATTCTCGAGGGGCTAGAGCCTTGGAGAAATTACGGGAGGGACTCCAGAAGAAGCAGAAAATTATGGAGATCGTACCGGTACTGGAGAACTTGGGGACCAAATTAAGGAGTGTGGAAAGAAGCCGACCTTTTCACGGAGTCAACGTCCTCTCCCGACACCAGCCCACAACGACTACCCGTTCCCCAAGGAAGACGTCGGTGGAGCTGAAGCAGCTCAAGAGGAAGCTGGGGGTCTACAAGAAGCTGCACAAACCCCGAACTCCTCCTATGGATGCATCCAGTTCTTCGGCATCAATGACACGTACAGTCGTCAAAGAAACTCTGGGCCCTGGAGAAGAGCCGTTCTCCAAGCAGCCTCGTCCAGCTGCCAGCTCAAGAGTAGATAGCAACACAAAGATGTGTATGGAATATTGGGATGTACCCTATGACCCAATCAGTGAAACTATCTTTGGGTACTCCGAGCAACGCCTGCCCCTCGTGCTCGAGGTCATCTGCAAAGGACGACGCCTCCAAGCACTCGTGGACAGTGGAGCATCCCACACTGTATGCGACAAGGCAACCATCGACCGACTTCAAGAAGAGTACAAGCCATCAACATTTTTTGCAACGATGGTGGACGGCAGCAAGTTACCAGTATACGGCGAAGCAGTGCTACACCTACAAATCGGTCGACTGCGCTGGAAACCTGCTCTCCCCATCACCAACATAAAAGGGCTTGACCTGATCTTCAGGCAAGACTTCCTCAAGAAATTCAACCCCGAGATCAACTGGGTGAACCGCACCGCAAGCATCTACAACAATGGACGGAGAGTACAGCTACCCAACTGGGACGATACAGGAGATATCCCAGTGGAGACACTCGCACGATTCGAGAAGGACGTGAAGCGAACCGACACCGAGTTCCTGGCGATAGCAACAGAGGTGGAGAATGACGGAGAGAAGACCTCGGAACCTCCGGGAAAAATCAAGGAATTATTGAAGGAGTTCCAAGACATCTTCCTGACGATCTTCTGAACGAGCTACCGCTATACCGCAGACATCAACACGAGATCGTGGAGGAACCGGGTTCGAAGCCGACCTTCCGAGCACCATATCGGCTCAGCCCTACGGAGCTGACCGATATGAAAAAACT